TCATTTTTCAATTACAGTATTAGGCTGTAAAAGTGAAAAACATGTTTTTTTTTCAATAACACAAATGATAACCCTTTTCAATAGCCTATTTGAAAGTATTTTGTTAAGTTAGATACTTAGAAACAATTGAGTACAATAATAATGAGGGTATAGGTCATCAACGCAAGCTATACGCATATCTAAGCTACCTGTCGTAGAAATCCAAGACCAAGCATTCAGCTAAAGGAGCCTATGTAGTTTCATTTTGTTCGATAGCCAATTGGCCATGGTCGCAACCAAAAGCTAGCCATAAGATGAACTGTAGCTACTTGTACATATAGCAAAGTGAAATTAATTTATGGAAAATGATAAAAAATGAATACTAAATTCTAGAAAATTGTACACAGGAGTAGCTAAAGTTTTTTTTTTCACTTTTATTTGTTTACATTTTTTTCACTTTTATAGCCTAGTACTGTAATTGAAAAATGATAAATAATTAAGCCCCCTGTTAGCCCTTAATGCCTTTAGACTTTTTTTGTGGGGTTATTTGAAAGATCAAATCTATCAAACTAAACCAGAAAGTCTTGAGGAGTTAAGAAGGAAAATAAATCAACGAACAGAAGCTATTCCATGTGAAATGATTGAGAAATGCTGTACATTAGAAAATTGATTTTTGGGTCTCTGGAGCTTGAAGGTTACGTTCAAGGTCAAATCCAAGGTCACATTGGATTTCTCGCCAAAAAATACGTCGGGTATAGAGTTTTTAATTTTTACATTAACCTTTGTCTCGAAGTTTTGCAGAGGTGTCTGCTTTCGTCAAGCCATTTTTACGAAAATCATATTATCCGACCTTAGAATGTACATAGAAAAATTACCTACGAAAACAATCATGTTCGCGATTTTTGCCTTGTTTCTAATACCCCAATAGATACTTTCCATTCCGCAGGGGGCGTGTAGCATCCATAAAAAAATCTTGGCTTTTTGGACCTCAAAAATGGCAGATTTTTTTGAGAATTGCTCATATAAGCAGGCAACTTGCAGCGCTAAGGCAGATTCGGCACCTGTGTCCGCTTTGCCTGTCACCTTTTTGCTTGGCTATCGCTAACTGTTCTTGCCAGATTACTAATATTAGTTGCAAATAATAATCTTTTTTTGCTTACTTGTGATTAAGGGGACACACCTGTGTTTATACCTATAAATGAAAAACATGAAAATTAAGGATAACTATTAAAATTTTTTGTTTCTGACGTAAAACTATGTTTTTATAGCTCCTTTTACAACAAAAAAGATGTCTCTTGTTTCTCTTATTATTGAAAATCATCTATCAAACAAGTATATTGACTTGTGATTTCTAAGTCATTGACCGCATGATTTTGAATGCAATTTTTTACTAATCCGGATCCTTGCTGTCTCAAAAGTTTAGCAATAAAATTCTTTTCTACTTAGAAATCACAAGTCAATATACATGTTTGATGGATGATTATTTATAATAAGAGGAACTACAGACATATTATTTGTTGTAAAAGGACCTATAAAAACATATTTTTACATCAGAAACAAAAAATTTTAATAGTAATCCTTAATTTTCATGTTTTTCATTTTGTTTTTTGTCATCAGGCCAAAAACAATAAAGCCTTTTGTAGGTATTGCTGTTGAAATGAAAGGTTTATTGAAATAAGTATTTGAGATATTGAGTAATTTAAATAATGAAGATTTATTTAAAATAAGTCAAGTGATAGTGTAAATATGTGCAAAATAGCAAGATGCCTAGAAAAACAGTATGAAGAACAAAATATCAATAACATCAGCGAATTTACAATTTTTATCCGTTGATTAATTATAATCGCTATACCGGCGATGCCAGGCAAACTAGCTGTCTTTCGCTCTGCAATTCAGAGTGAAAGATACGCTGAAGCAGATTTCTTAATGCACTCGAGTGACTACCCAACGGAGGCGAACCCCCTCAGCGGTCAATCTGCAGCGACTACCCAACGAAAGCAATCTTTCTCAACGGTCACCCTATTGCAGACGTCGCATAAAATGCGAACTCGAGTAGATCTCTCTACTTGCCAGCGTGCGCTAGTGAACACGCCAGAGAGAGACGGGCCCTCTTATATAGGGGGAAGCGAGGTTTGCTGCTTGCGTGAGCGACGGTCGGTGCCGACGCCACCTAGCCTCGGAGTACTCAAACACATTTATAGGCATAAACACAGGTGTGTCCCCTTAATTACGTAATCAAAGTTATTGCTTTTCTTTGTTCTTTGCTTTAATTTCTTTTTTGCTTAACTCAAATCATTTTGTTTGCTTCATTTATTTGCTATATTTGTAAATAATTAATCTTTAGTTTATCAATAAATCGACAAATACTTGTTACCGAATTTTTACGACTTATCATTTTAAGCCACCACCTGATCCCACCGTTACAAATTTTTGAGCAACACGTTAAGGGGAGTCATACACCAATTGGTTCTTATTGGGCATTTTTGTGATATACATCACAGTTTGATGTCAACCTATGTTTTCAACATCAATTTGGCATCTTTGGACCCAACAAAATGTGGAAAAAAGTGTCAGAATAGACCTCTGCGTCTAAAAATAGCTTATTTTTGCTATTTTAGGATTTTGGCACTCTGCGCAAGGTTCAGACCAGAGTTTTTGAAGTACAGACCTCTAGTACGTCTCAAAATCTTCATAAAATTACTCTTTATGGGCTGAGTTTTCTAGAATTTTGATTTAGACCTTTACATCAGTTCTGTTACTCAATATGTGCTCAAAAACAACAATAAATTTTCATGAATTTTGCTTTTTTTCACATCTATTGTTGTAAAAACTTTTTTATAACTTGAATCAAAATTCCACAAAACTCAGCCCATAAAGGACATTTTTCTGAAGAATTTGAGACGTACTAGAGGTCTCTATGATGAAAACTGACTGAGAAACCCTGCGCACACTGGACTAAAATGTGAAAAATCAAACTTTCCAGGAGAAGCAAAAGAAAGAATTTATGTTTAAAATATTGAAATCTTTCCCTTTACATTCTCAGTGGCCCACACATAAATCTCACTCACACTTTACTCATTCTCATACTAATTTGAGCTTTTTCACATCATTTTATTGATTTGTTTCAATGTAAATTTCACTCAACTCACACAAAATTCAGGCATCATGCGTGCATTATTCAGTTTCTCAGTGCTGTATGTTGTTAAGTACCAAGCATAAATGTTTTAGATTTGAAAGGTGCATTTGAGCATTATTATTTCAAATGCCTTTTCTAAAAATAAAACATGCTATAATTTCAAGTATATTTTAACTGTATCACTTGTAAGAAAATATGTTTTACTATAAATCAATCACTACACTGCAGCACTGACAAACAATATAAACTAAATAAAATTATGAATCTTTATTTTTCTCTTTGGTAATGAACTACTTTAAATTTTGATGAAAAAACTTTTATTAATTCACTTTCCCAATTAACTTCAACTCTCAAATTATAAAACATCACTCATTACACAGCTGATTTATTTTGACATTTTAGTTGCCCATGTGAAATTTTTATCAATTGCATCTTCACATAAACAAAATAATAAATATTTTTCTGCTACTTCTGCTGGTGCAGTTTAATTCTGCTATATAAGAGAGGCTAGCTTTTTGTTTACAAATTTGATTCTCAAATTTGAACACCAGAGGCAGCACTAACAGCAGTAGTACTGGCAGCCGAACGCCTTGAAAATGCCCTTTTCGAGATATTCGACTTTAAAAGTTTTCCGGCAATTTTCTCGAGGAAAATGGAAAATTTTTGATAATATGACCCCACCATCAGAAAGCTGAGGTAATTTCCTATCGAAATGGTAGTTTACTTTTTTTTTTAGGTGCATTTAGTAACTTTTACAGCGAGTTAGAAATTGCGAGATTTCGCCTAATAATGCCGCGCGGGCGAGCCATTCGAGACTTGACGTGATATGGCTTACACACATTATAATAACATAAATAATTTGTTTTGAGGGCTAAAAATTTGGGAAATGATACTTCAAATGTCAAAGAATCGAAAGCAAACATAAAAAAAAAATCGATTTTTCGGTCAAATTTGGTGTATATCTCCCCTTAAGTTTTTATTTAGAAAAACCGAGACAAATAGAAGTATTAAAGATATAGAGATGAATGAGCGTGGGTCGGTATGCACGGACCTGTTTTTTTGTCTTTGTCTTTTCAACTCGCTGGAAATATAATACCCCACCGTAATTGCACACGGTGGCCGACTAATGCTGGACGCGCTCATATAAAGGTATAATTAAGTGATTTTTGATTAGAACTATAATAAAACAGACCAACTTAATTTTTTTTTAATTTTTACTTGCCTAGGTGCTTTAAACACTATTTAAGTAAATGTAAATAGTTCCTTATTGAAAGAAGCGTTATATATGAGGATAATTTATAAATGTTCCTATATATTATTTTTACATATTTTCATGCATTTTGAAATTTCAAGGTGTATATAAGCCATTAAACTCATCGTAAAATTGTTGGGTGACCTGTAGCCTAATCAAGTTATGAACACTATTTCAGATATTAGAGTTTCTCATCTGTGAAATATTTCTAATGCAGGTAATATTAGTGATAAAGCAGTTGCGTGGTGATATGATTATGAACACGTAAGGTCTAAACATTTTAAGCCATTGTATAACCGTCGGAGTAGGAAATATTTTTTTCTTCTTTCTTTGTTATTGATGCTTGTGAAAAGAAATGCGTCAAAAAGTAATACCCAAAACGGAATATTTCATTAAATAAGTATTTACTTCCTAAATTTGAATTTTATGATTATTAATACACGAACCCTCTATCTAAGCTGTTTACTATTGAACAACAAAATATAATAATCATTCGATTCATTTTAAGCTTAAATATGAACTAAAAATAAATTGTTAATACTAATCATATGAATTTAAAATAATAAAATGGTTTATTAGTGTTGATTCGAATTAAAAAATCATAAGTAAAAAATTGTTAATAACTGATTTCAGGTGAAAATATGGTTTCAAAATCGGCGAATGAAATGGAAAAGAAACAAGAAAACTCAACAGGATGCCAAATCAATAACGAAAAATCACCAGAATAAATCAAACACTCATGATAGTATTGAATGCAAACTAAGCAATCATAACATATCGCTCGCGATGACTGATATTTTTGATAAAAATACAGATAGTACCACCAACGATCAACATGAATCTCTGTATAGGCCGTACATCACTTAAACGTATTATTTTATAACTGTAGCTACAGAAACATAAATATTGCAACGATTTTTTATGATCCCTTTGTGAAATGCTTTGCAACTTTGTGTTACTTTGTTATCAAATTTCAATATCAATAAGTCTAAACGATAGAGCATTAACTTATTATTAAATTATTATAAACTTTTCAAATTTTTGATAATTTTAAGTAAAAATTTTGTAGCGAAATTATTACCAAGATTTGGTTCATAATTAAACTAAGAACTTATGAAACAATCTTACGCGATCGACTCTAATGAATAACTATGAATACTTGTACATAAGCTCTTATGTTAGATCATATAAAAAAAAATTAAAATTTTTTTGATTCGGTGGTCTAACTTTTTTTTTTAAATTTAGAAGTCAAACAAACTTTTTCTAGTATAAATGGCTAGGAAAACAACTATTGTATTTTGCATTTTTGAAGGACTAAAAAGCGTTGCAATAAATTTCAAAAATGTAAACTTTAATAACTTTTTATGTAAATATGAACATATGACAACGATTTCATCTTTAATAAAAGATGTAAGCAATAAAATTCTTTTATGGAAATCATTTTTTACGAAGGATAATGTTATTATTCGGTTATGAAACATTAAATATGAGCATGATATCAGAATGAAAGTTTCTATAAAGTTATAGAAATCAAATATGTCGATTCACGCAAGCTCGTTTTTTACTACAATAAAACAGCCGAGACGCAACCATAGATCGAGGTCTGCACACGATAAATATGTGTATGTATGGGATGGGAGACACAAATCTCGCCGCACAATAATACCTCCATCTTCGAGGAATCTGGATCGTGTGACACACATCACAGATACTGAAACGTCGCACTTGCGAGCACTCTTACCGAGGTTTTTCTCGGATCCAGCGTTAACCCAACCGATTCTGATGTTGCCGAGCTTTAGCAACTCGTATGCAAAATGGTCGGATAAAACGACTACAGCTGTTTGTGTCCCTCGCTCGGCATCTTCCACCGCCAGAGGACACGCTGGGCACAAGTCACTCATATCGTTTTTGGTCCGACACAGGTGTTACATCCAGTGGTCGGGATTTAACAATAAACTATTTATTTCTTAGACTTGTTGCCGAGGTGGAGTGATAATAAAGGAAGACTTAATTATTTTGGTTGAAGTTTGTATATTATTTAGGTAGTGAGATGGTTTACAATAATATTAATTTGATCATTAACAAGCAGCATAGTTCGCTACAGATCACACACGCATACTCATACTCATACTGTTTGCGTTATAGTTGCTTGGAGTCGTTGGCTGCCTGCGATGTCTTTGCCTGGTGAGGTCTTTGGCTGCCTACGATACTCCTTGGCTGGTTGAAGTCTGGATGATGGCTGGATCGCGCAGATGCACTTGCTCGTGCTGTTACAATATTTTTATTCGCACGTCACTCCCGTTGAATGCAACAATATTTTATATATCATTGCTTATATACACCTAAATTTGCCCCCGCCTTAGCAGTTGCAGTGTATGTAGTCGGCTCGATATGTGTCAATAATTCACACATATCTTGCATGCGCGTGTACATTACAAAATCCCGGGTCTTCCCGAAATCGGTGGAGTCGCTGTCACCGCAGTTTTATAGTTTTTCTCCGATATTTATTCATCTCGTGGCAGCGAGTGTACATTTCTTTGTCGATCGAATTGTATTTTCGCAAGAGTTCTTGCAAGCGTTTAATACAGAGGCCTAAATCGGTGATGGTTTTAGGCCGCTCAATTCGGATTTGTTCACTCCGGCTGCGAGTGTCCGAAATGATGTTACTTTTAAGGGGGGGTAGGGTCTTGACTAAATTTAAAAAAAAAAAAAATTTTTTTTTTTTTTTTTGAACATATAGTAAATCGAATTGATCTATAAATCATACACATTGTGACGGAGCACAAGCCGTCAGTAAGCGAGTCGAGCCCTCGCAGAAAATTCGTCGCGCCGAGACTGCCGCACGCGCGTATGTATGAGTGAGTGCGTGTGTGTCTCCCTTCTTTCGCGCGTTTTCAGGTAGATGATAAGCAGTGGCCCGTCGGACTGATGATGTGAAGCCAGGAGCATGGCCCAGTATCAACACGTGCGAGAAGGACAGAAAAGAGCCGAGCAGACACCGGGCGAATTCCTTTCGCTACGAGGCAGGCAGATAAGAATAAGCTGGCCAGTGAGAAGGCCACGCAAAAAGCAGAGTGATAGAAAGACGCAGGAAAGCGCGAGCTAGTGCGTGAAACCGAAGTTGCCGAAGTGATTGCTGAAGTTGTCGTTGTGACGCGGGTGAGCAAGTGCCCGTGTAGTGCCCGTGGGAAATTGCATACACGAGTCAGATCGGAGCCCAGGTGGGCAAGACACTTCGGAGCAGACTCGTCCGATCGGGCAGACAGAATCGCACGAGTGAGGTGCGCAGAGCCCGAAAGAGGACGAGAAGTTTGAATGTAGATAACACACGTGGAGCTACGCCGAAGCCCGGACGCGGGCAGCAGTAGGAGTTAGGCCAAGAAGACTACACCCAGAGCATCGACGATAGGTCATCAGTGCAGCAGCGACGCGCCGAAGAACTTGGGGTAATTGTAAGGTATTTTTAAGTCGTTGGTCGGCGCAGCTGCCGGGCCGCCCGCGTGTGTGTGTGTGTGTGTGTGTGTGTGTGTGAGCAAGTGTGTTAGTGTAAGTGAGGCCACGCGGGTGTCGTAGCGACGACACTGGGCCGATAGTAACGTGCGAGCAAGTCTCGGCCCTCGTGGGCGATCGGAAAGTGCCCAACGCGTGCGTAAGCGGCTACGGGGCCGTATCGTAAGCCAAAGATTGTAATTCGCGTATTATTTGTTATCGTTTGCCCTCGTGGGCCTTAAATAAAGATTAATCAATTAATCGTAAAGGAACGCGTGTCAATTCATTTCGCTTGACCTATTCGAGAATTTCAGGTATCAGAAGCCTAAGCGAAGGAAGGTGAGTGAACGGGCTCACGGCTCGCCTGTGCTGGTGACGGGCCCAATATCCCCTCTGGGACTCGAGTCAGGTAAAGCGGGCCCCCATAAATAAAGTGCACGGCAGTCGAGCTGAATTACCCACCCGGGGTAGGCTGTCCGTCGCAATACACATAATTATTAGTTATTTGAAGAATATTCAGTTAAATTTTCAGCCCAAAATACTGAAAAATAAGGTGGCTACAGCACATTTTCACATGCAACGTAAAAAAAATGCGGTGGACATCATCACTCAAAATCTACTCGACCGATCAACTTCATATTTTATACACTATTTAAGTAGATGATATATGAGGTAATGACGTCGAGATATTTTAACTTTTTGCATTTTTAAATGCTTTTTACGAACAAGTACGATGAATTTTTGCCTTCATTTTGTCAAAAAAGTCATTTTTTTCACTTCAAAATGATGCCAAAAACTCAAAAATCATTTTGAACGAAATATCTCGACGTCATTACCTCATAATTTATGTAGATAAATAGTAAGAAAAATTTGGAAAGAATCGGTTGAGTAGATTTTCAGTTACAGTGTCCACCGCAATCGATCTTTTTTTTTCAGTTTTGTGAGAAAATTTGCTGTAGTTAGCTTATTTTTCACTATTTTCAGCTGAAAATTTAACTGAATGTTCTTCAAATAATCATTTATAATGTATATAATTTATAGATAAATTCATTTTACTATGTGCTCAAAAAAAATTATTAAAATGCAGCTCGAAAACCATCGAACAAGACCCTACCCCCCCTTAACTTGTCGTATGTGTCATCGAAATTATGCATAGAAGATGCGCGAGATACATTAAATTGTAATACACGTGTAGCTGCTCGCTAGCTGCTTCTCACAGTTTTATTAGTTTCTTTTATAATTATTTTTTATAGTAAAAGGTTGCATCACAGGCTGTAACACAGGTATGCAGTGCTGGAAAGAACGTAGGAGGCCTTATGTAAAATTCTGCAAAATCCGCAGATCACACGCAAGCAGGCACGTCGATGGATCGACGCCGCACGACGGACCTAGCCATGCGTCTTGTGCCATGTTTCGGCATTCCATGCCGAGGCACCGTAGAGTAGGATCAAGTCAACGACGCTGGCATACTGTTCCTTGGAACTCCGATGTTGGGCATAAGACGTAGCAGGGCACCTGCTACCCGATTTGCCTTGTCACTGACGATACGAAGATACTCATCGAATCGCAGCCTGGCGTCAATATGTACGCCTAAATACCGAATACAGTAGTAAACCAAGTAACCCAAGTCAGTTAGGTCTGCTTGCACCAGACGTATAGTCTCATTAGTGTAAAACTCGACAAGGTCTAGGTGTTTACCACTGTGACTGCAATGTCGTCCGCAAATACCACGATTTTTGAGGTCTCGGGTAGCTTCAGCTTCAGGATCCTGTCGTACATGACATTCCAAATAATGGGACAGAGTACGGATCCCTGTGGCATGCCAGCCATAACATCATAGATCTCTGCTCTTTCATCCGTGGTGAACTCCAACACTCTGTGGCAGAAGTAGCTAGCCACCATCCACGACAAATAAGTTGGGACCTCTATTTGCCTCAAGGGAGGTCCTTCCTCACGTCTACGGTGATGACGGCGCAGTACTCCTTGGTAACCCTGATGTCATCGTTTGCCACTGAAGGCTGATTGTGCAGTGCTGAGGACGGTGTGTATGGCATCGATAGTTGATCGCCCCTCGATCGTAGAACGAGTCACTGGCAAAGGTAAGGTCAACTATAGATCCTCCCCATGGACCAACAAACGTCGTTTTTGAACGTGCGTTCAGCAGGAGGACATCCAAGGGAGTGAAGGCGTATAACAGCGCCTTGCCTCTCGGTTTTGTCTCCCTGCTGCCGCACTCCATCGACAAAGAATTGAAGTCGCCAGCCACGAGGATCGGAGTTTTTCGTCTTGCCTCTTCAAAAATGTTGGACAGCAGGCCGGTGAATTCTTCGAAGGAGAGTATAGGAGGCATATATATGCTGAAGATATTTATTCCAGCT